ACTAGATAGTGTCGATATAACTAGAAAGCATTGGCGTACAATTCAGTTTCTATTCAGTCATGACGGTCATTAAATAATTTATTGAAGATGTGGATATTTAAAAGAGCTCAGACACTGTCCAGTATACCATTAAATACAACACAATTTAATCAGGTCAGTAAAAAAGTTAATTAATAAAGTTAATTATTAAATTATCTTATATTCTAATTTTTTTCTGAAAAAAGAACATAATCGCTCAAATACTTTTTTTTTTTAAATTACGTTAGCGAAAAGGCAAGCTTGAGCTCATACAACCACTTTTATTAAATTTAATGTATTCAAGTATTCATTTTCTCGATAATAATAATAAAAAAAAATACCAATTAAATATGTCTATATATGCATGAGTTTTAATGCAAAAGAAGTGTTTTCTCTAATGTTCAATAAGTAGTAAAGATGTTAGTATGTTTGTTACTGAATTACGCTTAAATAACTAAACGGATATGTATAAAATTTGTTACCGGAGTAGGTTATATTCTAACTTAATATTTAACACTTTTTATAGTGATTTACGTGGACAAAATCATAGGATAAAGTAGTCGCCGTGTAGATCCGGTATAGAATGGACCACTTCTATGTATTTTAAATAGAAAAAAAACATAACATCATGATATTTATAAAAACTATTTATAATCAGCAAATGTTCTATGATTTTCCGGAATGCTTTCACGGGAGGAAACATCTCTGAAATCATGCTATACGCGATCATTTAGGCCCTAAGGTATGGGAGTGAACTCCCCTTTGGTGCTCCCTCTATTCGCCCATACATTAATAAAAAAGTTGAACTGTTTTTTGAGCGGCGGTAGTCACTTGCCATTAGGTGAGCCGCATGCTCGTTTGCCCCCTGTGTTGTAAAAAAAAAAGAAGCCTGAAAAATTTTATGGGGATTTGTTATACATAAACAGCTTAAAGAATTTGAATAAAATTTGAAAAATAGGTGTAATTGTGGCATTATTTTATTAACATTCAGATATTTTTTATTCTGATTGTAAAGGCAAAGATTGAAGGTAGTTTAAGCTAATATCATAAAAAAAGAATAATTTGATTTTTTGTTTATAATGAATAAATTCCTAATATACTAAATCAATTATTAAATTACTTTAGCTGTAGAAAGCTACGAATACATTGTCACTGAATGACATGGGCTGTATTTTATTTATAATAAAATTGCGCGAAGCAATAGAAGCAATAGAGATATAAATGTACTTCGATCTCTTTTCGACCCAATTCGTTTAATTTAAAAATAAACAATATCATTTTCCACCTGAACAGTCTCAGAAGTATTGAATTAAGTATAACGTAAGAATAGCACACAGTAATGAGCACAATGTTACACGCTTATTTTTATATGAAGTTATTAAATTACTGCCTTAAAAAAAATATAAAAATGGAAAGTCTAAGGACTGGGAAGACCAAGGAAAGAAATGCAAATTGTCATCCTACATAGAGATTAAGGAATGGAACTTAAAAATAATTTCTCGGTTACATTTACACTAGAAATGGCGGCGATTAATTTGCACAATTTTTTCGTCAAAAATTTTTAATATCCACAATGCAGGAATGTATGTAGGGTATATAGGACCTAATTCGGAGAAATGTTTGTGACAAGTGATTTCTGAAAATAATCTAATTTGTATTTGTACAATCATTTGTAATATTAAATAATATTTTTTGTACTTTATACAGATAATATTTTTGACAGTTTCAGGAAATTATTTATTTCTATTTTTTATATAATATACTAATTATATAATTAAATATGGCGGAGGCCTATGGGGATAATTAACGGCTGATATCATCATCAAGGTGGATATCTGCTCTTTACGTTAATTTAGAATTATATATATATATATATATATATATATATATATATATATATATATATATATATATATATATATATATATATTATGTATGTATTATATTTTTTTTTATGCAACTTGAAATGGCGAACAAGCTGACGGTCCACCTGATGGAAAGTGGTACCCGTCGTCTATAGACATGAGCAGTACCATAGACATAACAGAGTATACTCTGTTATGTCCATGATACCCCCCATGAGTTGCCATTCCTGAGAACTCAGATATTATTTCTCTGTATCTTGTAAATTAACTGTCATATCCCACCCTTCAAACCGAAACACAGCCATGCAAATTAACTTCACGGTAGAAAAACGAATGGGACAGAGGTACCCAAGCAAACAACTTTTGTACAAAATCTCCCTCTGGTAATGTAATTATTATATTATTATAGCTATAGTTATTTTCATCTACCTATATCAAATTTCATTTAAATGTATTAAATTGTTTAAGCGTGTCCGGGTAATATATAAATCACAAACTTTAAAACATTTATAATGTTTACTTACATTTATAAAATAACTAGTCGTATCTTATATCTATAGTAATATGAGATAGTATGTAAGTTCATTGTATCGTATTAACCCTAAGTGTCTACTGCTAAACATAGCCTCTCCAATAAAGGGAGGTTTCGCCCGTAGTTGCCACGCTTGGCAGGCGGGTTAACAACGGCAGGTAGAAGGGGGGAAAGGGATTGTTAACAAAGGAGTTTGACAGCCCCATTGCTAGCAATATGCTCTATTGGGTCGACCTCCACGTAGTTCCCCCTAGAAATTGTCGTGAACAATTCTTGTTGAATTCGTCACGATGGGCTAACTGACCTGCTTCATCCTCACCTATCATCCTTCACTGGTGCCCTGCCGGTGTATACCGATAGCACGGGTGGGGTTACCAATCCATTGTCACCCATTAAAAAAAAAGCCGCAGTTAGGCTTTGGTGATGTTATAAGAGAGACGCTGCTGCCCATCCCTCGACCATTAAATCCCCTTAGTCGCATCTTACGACGCCCACGGGAAAGGAAGGCGTGGCTAATAGGTCATTAGATGCTATTCCGGAACCACAGAACAGGAATATTATATAGAACACTTTATTGCATCAATACTGACAAATTATAATTATCTCTCTCTCCCTCTTCGTCCTCTTCATTACTGAAGGTCGTGTCCTTGAGAGGTGTCCGTTGCCTCTCTTATGATGTTATTCCATTTTGCACGGTCTTCAGCTTCTCGCAGGGCAGCTGCAATTGACAGTCCCATAACGGCGGTTACTTGGTCCGACCATCGATTAGGCGATCATCCGCCTATTCAATGGTCGAACATTATTATTATAAGAAGTGATAGAAAACAAAACAATTGCATTTTTAAACGTAATAGAAATGATAATAACTTAATGAAATCTCTTCCAAATAAATAACCTTTATTTATAATTTATTTATTTATAAAAGATACACCAACAATACGTTCACAATAATTAAACAGACTGTTTACAATGTTATAAGTAAGTATGTAATAAAAAATGATTATTCAAAAATGCCTAAATCCAGGTTTACTTGAAGAAAAATATTTCTTTCTTTCTTTCTACATGAGATAAACATAATTAGAAGCTTATACAGCTCTTACAGAGAAGTGTTAATGTATACTAAAGTAACAATCATACAGTATAGTATTAATAGAAATAGTATAATAACTAACAGCTTTGCCCATAAGAGAAATTGCATATGAATGGAAAATTCATTTAACATGCGTGAGTGAATTGGATCAGTTGCAATAAATATAAGGATCTCTTACAGTTAACCTTCGAGAAGCTAAAATAAAACTATAAAATGTGCCGTAAGAGGCGACTAAGAGAACGCTCGAGGGATGTGCAGCAGCGTCCCTCTTAAGACACTATCATAGTCTATCAGCGGTTGCCAACCCGCTTTTCAAGTGTGGTAACTGCTGGTAACTTCCCCCAAGGGGGAGGTATATGTTCAGCACTGTCCACACAGTTAATATGGAGTTACAAGCTATTTTTTTATCTCGGTCAATTAATATTACTCAGGCCATTAAAGTGCCAAGAGGTAACAAACTCGCTTCCACATTTGTAATATTGGGAAGAATAATTAGGCAGGATGAAAGGCAAAAAAAATAAATTCATATGAATAGAAAAATACAAATCTTCCTGTTGCTAAGCTTTAATTTTCTCACCTTTGTATTTGTAACTAAGACAAACATTCTCGCTTATTAAAGCAAAAAACACCTTTACGTGAACATTGAGGTGAGATCCCGAGAACATGTGGTTTACTGTACAAGTTTTGTGTTAATTTTGGAGCCAGTGTGCCAAATGAATGTTCCGATAATTAATATTGTAATTTACTTTTTATGTATATATTTTTAATGACAATCTAGCAAACTTGGTGATTGATATGTGCGCCTAGTAATTATTTGTTACAAAATGCGCGTCAAAATAATATATAGAATATAATTTAGTGACATATCCTATCCTTCAACAAAAATAGAAATGGTCTAGAAAAGGGTTTAGTATATATATATATATATATATATATATATATATATATATATATATATATATATATATATATATATGTACATATATAATATATATATACATATACATACATATATATATATATATATATATATATATATATATATATATATATATATATATATAATATAATATATAATATATATATAATATACATATACATATACATATACATATATATATATATATATATATATATATATATATATATCTGCATGCCCTAAAATTAATTTCAATGTTATAAAAAAGTCATGTACATATTCGTTATAGAGTAATTCTTTACCTAACAAGTTAGCAACTATAGATAGGGTTTTGAATCAACTCGAATATCAATTGTACCCCGTGACGTCAAAACGAATAAAACTAATTGGACCCTTGCTCTAGGGCTATGAAACTCAGCCGTTTGATCGCAACGTCTCAGTCGGAGACATGTAGCCATAGTAGACACGCGGCTATCACCACGCGCGTGAACTGGCAATCGACAACAAGCGATGACTGTATCGCAAATTAAAAATTATACATTCTGAATTTGAATTAATTTCATTTAGTAAAAAAATATGGGTTCGTTCAATCATTCGAAACGGCTTCGGAATTTGCAAAATTTAAAAAGTGGCGCCATTAAACTGCCGCGCCATTGGTCGAAAATGTTGGGTCTTGTTAACGTGAGCAAAGCTTCTATTGAAGAATTACTACAAGTAAGTATTAATTTGTATTTTAAAATATGAATGGTTTTATTAATTAAATACTACACGTTAAATCATAGTAAGCTAAGCATTTAAACTATTTTTTTTTTATTTTAAGCAATTATTTTCCTTATTTATTATTAATGTGCACAATTTATAATACAACCCAATACCAAAAATGAAAATGCAATAAATACTAAAAATTCTAATTTTAAATAGTTTAATACATAAATACATCTTTTTTAATAATTTTGAAAAGCCAAGAAAAAAACAGGAGCTATCTATATAAGCTGATAACTGCTATCTTAGAGACACTGGCATATTTTAAAAAAGTATATATAAAATATGTTCTGACAGACAGACAGTTTGGGGGGCCTGTATGTACCCCCAAACTGTCTGTCTTTGCAAAGATTTTCTAGCATTCTTAAGTGGACATCAGACGATTTTAGGGTGGGCACGACCCATTCGTATTTAGTATTTAAAGAGGCCCTCTAAATAAAACTATGCTTATAAACATGAACAGCATCAAGGATAACAGTAATCACAACTTTTTGGCTTAAGTTTCATCCGCACTGCAGCTGAGCTTGTAATGCAATGTACTCGTATATCTACGACTCTCAACTGCATAATCGCTAATGTCATGAGAATAAAGCCCTTTTTCTTATGCTAGTGTCCAACTACATTCTTATCTACTTATCATTTTAAAACAACCATACACACGATTGTTTACTTTTACTAATATTATAAAGAGGAAAAATTTGTTTGTTTATTTATAATGAAAAAACATGAAACCTATTCAATCGATTTTGAAAATTCTTTCGCCTATTGTAAATGTATATTGTAAATGTGTAATGTTCTCTCATAAAATAACAATATAATAAAATTTACAGCCACATTTTTTTTATAAAACTTTGAATGGTAAACAAGCTGACGGCCCACCTGATGGCAAATGGTAACCGTCGCCTATAAACATGAGCAGTACTATGAACACAACAGAGTATACTGTTTCACCCATGATACCCCCCATGCGTTGCCATTCCTGAGAACTCAGGTGTTATTCTTCTGTATCCAGTACATTCACGCCATATCCCTTCTTACAAACCGAAACACAGCCATGCAAACACAACTACTTTACGGTTGAAACACGAATGGGACAGAGGTACCCAAGCAATCAATTTTTGTACAAAGTCTCCCTCTGGTTACCACATAGGTTACAATTTAAATTTATTGAAAACTACATTATTAACAAGTAATATTCGCTATGTATTATGGAATATATATATGTATTATATATATATATATATATGTGTATGTATGTATTTTGAATACACTATATACCCGTGCGAAGTCAGACCTCATCAATAGTTATTACAATTTTTAATTAGGTACCAGTAAGGGATGATAGGTGAGGATGAAACAGGCCAGTTGACGCATAATGGTAAATTTACCAGGATTTAGTCACTATGGTTTCCTAGAGGAACTGCTTGGCAGTGTACTTGTTAAAGTAGTAAGGATGAACAGGCTAGTAGACGCTTTTACTCATGTTATCCTTTCATATACGTGGTGCTATTCATGCCTGTAGGCGTTAGTTACCACTTTCCATTAGATAGGACATAAGATTGTAATTTTAAGTTGCATAAAAAAAAATCGCCTAAATGAGGTTCCAAGGCATCTGCTACATCGTGTTCGGAGGGCGTTACCCTTTCTCTTTATACCTAGGCATTTAAATGTTTATTATGGGATATATAATTATATAAGTATATAATTAAATTTATAATTAAAGTTCTTCAGTTCCATCAATACGTTGACATTTGGAGATACATATCTAAAGATAATGTCTTATATTGTTGTCGTTGTCATACTATTGCCTGACTCTGCTTTTAATCTTTACTAGCTTTTTTAAATTACATAATTAGGGACATTACTGTGAAAATGTCATCCAATTTGATGCAGTGGTTTTTGCACGATGCCGAAATAAACATAAAGTAATAAATATAAAAAGAATGGTTGTTTTGGTAATTTTTCTTAAATATCTCGCATGTACAGACATAGCCTGGTTAGAATTTTATAATATTAGTATGATTTTATATTTTTTCTTCTTCTATCTTATAGAAGGTGACTAAAATTTCGCGAAGATCAGGGACAAATATTTAATTACTGCCGTATAACCACAAGGATGTAACTAATTAGGCTTACCCACGAAAATAGAAAGGGTAGCCTATTCGATGTCGGGTGTACATGAAGTTTATTTACGCTCTTTATGAATTCAATAGCTGGCTTCCATTTTCAATCGACTTCATAAAAAAGGAGGGTTTCAAACCGGTTGTATTTTTTAAGTTTTTCTTTCCGTCAGTTTTAAACCAACTTGGAAATTTCTTTTTTATATAAAAGGATTATATTTCAGTCGCCTTTCCTGGCGAATGTCCATGAGAAGCATAATGTTTTCAGGGTTTATGTCTGTCTATGAGTATATTTATTCCAACATAATTTCTAAATATCTAAACAGATTTGATCATGTAAGAGATTGTTGAAATTCCTACTACATCCTACTTAACAATGTATGTAATGTTATTAAAATATTAACACCAATTATTTTGTCTCCTTTTTTTATGCAAAATTCCCAATTTGAAAGAAAGTGAGTGAGCAGTGTAATAGTTAAAATGAGTTTGTAGAACGTCTTAGTTTTTATGAATAAGAGGATTATTTCTTAGGCGGGAATTTATCAACATAATTCATACGATTTTGTTTCATGTAAGCATTGTAGCCTAGTGTATTATTGTCCTGATTTATAATAAGTCACGGTTAATCAGGCAGATATTGAAAATTTTATATCTGTTTAAATGGTAGACTAAAATAAAGGGATATAAAGTAAATTAATCCGTGAGTAAACCATATTAGTTTCAAATATGTTAAGCAAAATACATCTATTATGATAAACATATTATTGTTTTTGTATTTTGCAATCCTAGATGTTGTTGTCAATGACTGAAATACAATTTTATGTTGTACGATTATTCTAGAAAGGGACAAGTTAGACCAAGTAACATAACATTGTATATTAATAGCTACATTAACGACAAAAAAACTTAAATCCAAAACTGTAAAAGATTTTAGTATGTACGGGAGATTTAGGGATGCCCAGGTTTTCTTTAGAGTCTACAGTATGGGGTTCTTCAACAGTGTATTAATATTTCCTCATGGTCAGCAGTAGCTATGGTGGTCAGCAAAAAAACTGTAAAACTGTAAATGGCTGTACTATGAGCTCCTTGACTAGGTTTTTCCTAGAGACTACAGTATGGGTTCTTTAAAAAGAGTATATAAGTGTTTCTTAAGGGTCAGCTATGGTAATCAGCAAAGGCTATCTTTGTGGTATAAAAAAAGCTTTCGTCTACGATTTTTTATGTAAACATTTGAAAAATAAGCAACAAACAAATTGATCACTTCTAGATCTGTAACAAGAGATGTATGTGATTAGTATATCAAGAAATACAACTATCGAAACCACATCCATATTGGCGTATTGGTATTTGCGTGATGCAAACATGTGAAAACAGTAAACAGATGAAAATTCTCAAAATTATTGTTTTTCAAAAAAAGTAAATTGTAATGATTATGAAATTTAATTATTGTTATGAAAGAGCGGTTTCTCCTAACACAAGCAATCTTTGCTTAACAGGAGATACCAAACCCTGTAACTAACTGCCTTTCTATAAAGAAATAATTTATTATTATTACTTTCTGTCGTTCTTACCTCTGACGTCAACATGCCTTAAATATTTCTTCTGTACAGATTTCGCTTGGTTACATTTATTATATTAGTAAGATATAGTAAGATTGTTATATTTATTACTAGCAAACCCAATAGAGGTCTTGTTTAAATTTAAATGCGATTTGTTCACTCTAAAGATAAAAATTGTTTCAATTCATTTATTGTATTACTTTGTTGCCATTCGGATCAACTAAAATAAATCTCTTTGAAGCACTTTAATAATTTATCATCGGCTAAATATCAATTTTTGTTTAAGACAGACCTACAGAGGTTTGTAAATCAAGCTGCTGTTATAATTTATGTATATTAAACATAATGCGACCTCCTTACTGCACTTGATATCATAATGTAATTTGGAAAGATAAAACAATCATTCAAATGTGACCTTTAGTGGTCATTTTTGCTGCTGATTATGCATCACAGTACATTATGCATTACAGTACGCAGTATGTATATGTATATGTACAGCATTTTTTTTAAATGTATGATAATGGGAATGGTAACCCCACCCGCGCTATCGGTATACACCGGCGGGGCACCAGTGAGAGATGATAGGTGAGGATGAAGCAAGTCTGACTAAGCCCACCGTGACGAATTCAACAAGAATTGTTCACGCTCGTTTCCAGAGGGAACCACGTGGAGGTCGACTTAATTAGGTATATTGCTAGCAATGGACCTGTCAAACTCCATTGCTAACAATCCTTTTCCCCCTTATGTACAGCATTAGGAAGGCATACAAAACTTATTATTTTTTAACTAACTTTCTAACTTTTCATTTTCTATTTTTAGACCGAATTATATATATATATATATATATATATATATATATATATATATATATATATATATATATATATATATATATATAATATTAGTTATTTCCCGCGATTTTGCTAGAGTACATCAGTAGTAATAATAGCAGTCATATCATCATGGCAGGCGAATTCGCAACCGCAGTTAGGCTTTGGAGATGTTTTAAAAGGAACGCTGCTGGCTGTCCCTCTTCCATCCTTAGTCGCTTCTTATGACACCTACGGGCAGTAAAGAGGTGGCCTATTCTATGCCGGGACTACACTGCATTAGAGGTCATATATTGTATACTATTTGTTAAGATATAATGTACGTTTGTACTAAACCAACTTGCGTGATTGAGTAACAAAAATCCAAAATTTATATATATATAACTAAATATACATATATATATATATAAATAGATAAATATTATTATAACAAATAAACAATT